AAATTTAATAATCTTTAAAAAATTAAAAATTTACATTTTGATTATTTATATTATATTTTTAAATAACACAAGATTATAATTAGAAATATTTCCATATTTTCAAATATTTCACTTACTGTTTTTTTATCCTTTTTACTCAAACTTTAAAATAGAAAATATCAATATCAAAATATGTTAATTAACGAGATGTCCAATCGCGATTGGTCGTTTAAAATCCTATGTGGACGGCCTCAGAAGCTTATAGCCTCGACTTTTATATAGTACTAGATAAGGACCCGTCCGATGGACGGGTTTATTTTTTTTAAAATTAAAATCAAATTTAACAAAAAATTAATTAACAACGTTGTAAGTAGAAATTTTCTTTCAAAAGTAAAAACAATATTTACTTTTTCAATGTTGCATTGTTTCTTTAACCACTAAAATTATTAATTCAAAATTATTTCGAATGAAAGATATATCACATAACAATAATTCATGGTATACTTATATGAAGAACAAAAATTAAAAATATTCATCATAAAGTTGGTGAATAAAACCAAAGTGGTGTTTAATTAGACACGTTAAAAATACAAAGATGATAAATCGACTAAATTCTTTAGCCTTCCAAGCTAAAGTTGCGGGTTCGATTCCTATATACTCGATTGCAATAACTTTATGATCAATCAATAAAAATTGATAAATTCAAAAAATTATAAGCACGATGATAGATGAATCTTATATAATTCAAATATGAACATAGAAATTGAAATAAACAATTTTGAAATAGTATAATTAAATTCAAAATATCAAAAAAAAAAGAAGCATATATATTTCTTACATATTCAAGAATTTCAAATAAAACAACATAAAACAATATAAAACTTTACTTTAAATCATCACATATTTCTAATTAGAAAATAATATTGATATAAATAATGTAAATTTGTAATTTAAATCATGACACATGTCGCTATCTTAAATCATTAGAACTATGATATATTATAAATCTTATATAATTTAAACTGAACGTAGAAACCAAAATAAATAATAAACACGATGATATATGAATCTTTGATAATTTAAATATGAAAAGAGAAATTGAAATAAACAATCTAACTATACTACAATCATAATTGAGGACAAACAAAAAAAAAACAGTTAAGTAAAAAAATATTACAAAAAGGAAAAAAAATTGATCTCACATATTTCTAATTGAAAAAATAAACTCAAATAAATAAGAGAAATTGTTAAAAATGCCCCTTTTTCAATACCCCTTTTCAAAAATGCCCTCTTTGAGAGTCCATTTTTAAGTTTGCCCTCTTTTATTTTTTAATGACCATTTTACCCTTACTTGAAACAAAATTAGGTCCACAAAATACAAAATATTTTTTGGCGGGAAAAGTGATCCCACAATTTTCCCGCCAAAACACTTGTAAAAAACCTTGTAAAATTTTCCCGTAAAAATTTTTCCCGCCAAAAAATTTTCCCGCCAAAAAAATTTTTTTGCGGGAAAAGTGATTCCGCAATTTTTTTGGCGAAATTTTTTTGGCGGGAAAAATTTACAAGGTTTTTTAAAGGTTTTACAGAGTATTTACAAGTGTTTTGTAAGGTTTTACAATGTATTTTAAAAGGTTTTACAAGGTACTTATAAGGTTTTATAAGGTATTTATAACTTGTAAAACCTTATAAAAAACTTGTAAAACCTTATAACTTGTAAAACCTTATAAAATTGCTTGTAAAATCTTATAATATCTTATAAATACCTTATAAATACGTTGTAAAACCTTTTAAAATACATTGTAAAACCTTATAAATACCCTGTAAAATACCTTTAAAATACCTTGTAAATTTTTCCCGCCAAAAATTTTCCCGCCAAAAATTTAACGCCAAAAAAATTGCGGAATCACTTTTCCCGCAAAAAAAATTTTTTGGCGGGAAAATTTTTTGGCGGGAAAAAATATTACGGGAAAATTTTACAAGGTATTTTAAAGGTTTTTATAAGTTTTTACAAGTGTTTTGGCGGGAAAAATTGCGGGATCACTTTTCCCGCCAAAAAATATTTTGTATTTTGTGGACCTAATTTTGTTATATTTCCTTATATATTTGTGATATATTTTATTAAAAGAAGGGTAATTTAGTCATTTTGTACATAAAAAGGGGTATTTTTAAAAATGGACAGCCAAATGGGGCATTTTTGAAAAGGGGTATTGAAAAAGGGGCATTTTTGTGAGTCTCCCAATAAATAATATGAGGAATAGTTTAATTAAATCATCACATATTTCTAATTGGAAAAGAAATTGAGATAAATAATATCAAATTTTAAATTAATATATAATAACATATGTTTCCTTTTTAATAAATTTGCCTGATTTTTTTCTTGTTTAATTGAAATATAAAAAACGTATAATTTCCTTATTATTATCTTTTGACATTTTTAAAATTTTTTTTATAGAAATATGAATTATTTACAATTATTCTTATAATTATCTTTTACATTTTTAAAATTATTTAAATTTGTAATTACTTTCAATTATCTTCTTTTTTTATTTTAAAAAGAAAATTTTTGTTTTACACGTGTCAAAATCTAAGATCGATAGATTTGCCACATGTCACGATCTAAGATCGATAGATTTGCCACATGTCACGATCATATGAGTTATTAACTTTGAAAACCATACTTTATATAATAAGATATAGATGTTGGGAGAAAATATGTTGACAGTTGAGAGAAAATAAGTGGGAGAAAATATGTTAATAGTTGAGAGAAAATATGTTAATGATATAATGATAGAAAGTACATTAACAATAGGTTGAGAACAAAAAAATCTGTTAAGAAAAATATGTTCATAGTCAAAAAATTTTTTTTAAAAAAATCTTTGTTGTAAGAAAAATTTCCTACGATCCGAAATCATAGTTTTTTGACTTTTTAAAATTTTCGATTCGGATCACATCGTCCAATCTGAAATCTTTTGTCGCAGAGTTTACTAAAACAGTAAATGAATTCCAGTAAATCAAAAATTTCTATTATCATCATTTTTTTCCTTGTGTTTGTTTCTCTCGAGTTTGATTTATGAAGAAAAAATTTGAGTTTTTTTTTTAATCAAAAATCATAAATCAATCTTTAGTTTTTCTTGAAACAAATTTAGAACAAATTCTTGCTATTGAGAGATATCAGTTTTTAGTGGAAACAAAACAACATGGCCATGACATTGTTTTATCATATCATTGTTTATAGGTTACAAGATCTAAAATACTCAAAAAATAAAAGGGAGAGTTTGCGCAGAGGTAAAAACACAGCAAGTAATTTGCGAATCGGTAAATGTCGTTTTTTGTCTCAAACAATAGAAAAAACACGTAACTAGTGGCCCTCAATTTACCAATAATAACGAAAAAACCATGTTAATTTTTTGATATGCGCGTGACAGACGCTTTGACTTTTGGGAGAGAATAAAAACGAACTGACAGACATTAAATGCTCAACACGTGAACTGACTGTTACCAAACTAACAATAATTGTTTGTTTCTCGAATTAGAGCAATTTTAACACGCTACAAACATATATTACACGATTTTAATACTTATACACATGTAAACACATAAATAGAGCGTTAAAAGTTATTATAGTGTTAAGCTATTGGATCTATGTATATATGTAAATATATACATATATACACATATATATACATATATACACATATATATATATATATAATAGAACGTTATTAACATTTATATACAAGTAAACACGTATATAGAGCGTTATTAACATTAAAATACATGTAAGCACGTATATAGAACGTTATTAACAAGTAAAATATATTTATATACAAGTAAACACGTACATAGAGCGTTATTAACATTAAAATACATGTAAGCACGTATATAGAACCTTATTAATATTTGTATACATATAAACACGTAGATAGAACGTTGTTAACATTTGTGTACATGCATGCACGCTACAAAGCCACCCATATTCGTCTAGGAAAAAACAATAAAAAACTTCGTCGGTTTACTGAACGCGTGAGGCTAAATATGGAAAGAGGATGGGCTAATGTTAGAATTGTTTTAGACCCCGACAAGATTTTATCAAAAACTAATTTCGTCCCAGATCTTTACTTCCGGCTAATTATCTCAAAATAAAAAATGCTAGAATCAAACATGATCACTCAAACCCGGTTAACTTGATTACCCGGTTTAACATTATTGAAGATATAACCCAAACCTTTAAATAAACCCGAGCTAATAAAATTCATCAGCACCAAACCTGAATTTCATCAGAATCTAACCGAAGCCACGTTGGTTACCTTCTCTTTAGAGCCCATTCAAACTCTCTCTTGATCCTTAAAAAAATGTCTGAAACACTTTAACACACACACACAGTTACTTTTGTCTCTTTGTCTCCTTAATTCCCTCAGATTTATTGCTTTTTTTTTTCTAAACTTCACCTCAATATCATTATTCATTACATAACGTAAAGGAGAAAATACCTTTTCTTTCTGGGATCTATAAAATAAAACTGATGATATATAAATATAATCAACTTTTTCCCTGAATTCACTCTAGAAAGAAATCTCTTCTTTTATAGTATCACCTACCGAAACCAAGAAATTGTTTGTTTTCAGTTTTAGTGAAAAAGAAAGTATTTATATATTTTAAATCGTTTTTGTGTGTTTTCTTCTGTTTTTTGATTGATTTTAGCTGTAAAGGTCCACACGGCACACACCACACCACACCATTGCCCACAAAAACGACCCCTTGGCTTCTTGACGTCTCTCTCTTATGTGACTTTTGATTTGAATGATGAATAAAAATTGTTTCTTCTTCTTCTTAGAATTTGCTTTTTGTTTTAAAGTTTTCTCCTTTTCTCTTCAATTTTATTATTATACTCTCTATGGGTTTGGTAGGAATTTTTTTTCTTTCTTTTGATTTTCCTTGTGAGATGTGAAAGTTTCAATTTTGATCATATTTCTGGTGTGGAATTGGGGCTTTTCTCTCTCAGAGGCATGTCACCTGTTGCTAAAGTCTCTGAGTTTCACAGAGAAGGGAACGATTGGTACATACCTCTCTCTCTTTCTCTCTCTCTCTGTTTGCATGTATTTGTGTTTGTTTTATACAATTTAAGTTCATGGGTTCTGTCCAAACTTCATTCAGTTGTCCAATTTTATGATGTCGGTAGCTTAAAGACCTTAAAGTTTGCAGCTTTATTCAATTCTTCACTTGCCAAATCAGTTTATAGATTCTCCTTAAACACAATTTGGCTTGTTTATGTGAACTTTACATTGAATAGATTAAGAAATTTGTTGTTAGAAATCTTAAAGAGAGCTGGCTTTAAAATTTGCAGGTTTTGCAAAACAGGACTGTCAAGTGATATCACTGTTGTTGTTGATGATGTGAAGTTCCATCTTCATAAGGTATAAGCTTTTTGATTATTCTTTTGATGCTTTGCTTTCTTCTTGAGTTTGGTATCTCCTTTGTCGTCTTAGGAACATGCTGGATTTAGCTAGGTGGTTCTTAGTATGATGATTTTAGGAACATAAATGTTCTGCTGCTGCGTAGCAAGTCTAGTTGGTGCTTACTTGTTCCCATTAGTCTATTTGTGGAAACAATTAGATCATTTGAAGGTACATAGATTCAGCTACTAGTTACGTGTGTTACCTTTGTTATGGTTGTGTAAGCATGTAACGACATGTATCGTTATGTTTATTAAAATATATGTATCTATGTTATATGCATCTCTCTGCTTGTGTGAATATTAGTAGCAACTGTTTTAAAAGAACTACAAGAGTTATGTATGTGTATATGCAGTTTCCATTGGTTTCTAAATGTGGAAAGTTAGCACGGATGTATGAAGATTCTAAAAGCACTGATAAGCAATCTCTCTGGACAACAGTGCTTGAAGAGTTCCCTGGTGGTGCAGACAATTTCTTGATAGTTTCGAGATTCTGTTACGGGGCTCGAGTAGATATCACCTCGAAAAACTTAGTTTCCATACACTGTGCAGCTGAGTACCTTGAAATGACAAATGAATATGGGGAAGATAACTTAATTTCCCAAGTTGAGACATTTTTGCACAAGCATGTGCTTCGCAATTGGAAAGACTGTATCTTGGCGTTACAAAGTTGTAACCCGGTGTTGAAGAGTGCAGAAAAGCTTCAGATGATACCCAAACTCATGAACGCTGTGTCCACAATGGTGTGTACTGACCCGAGTTTGTTTGGATGGCCAATGATGATGTATGGTACATTGCAGAGTCCGGGTGGAAGCATTTTATGGAATGGAATAAACACGGGGGCACGAATGAGAAGCTCGGGTTCGGATTGGTGGTATGAAGATATCTCTTATCTTAGTGTAGATTTGTTTAAAAAGCTCATTAAGACGATGGAAACAAAAGGTATACGTGCGGAAAGTTTAGCCGGTGCTATGATGTATTATGCGAGAAAGTACTTGCCGGGTTTGGGACGGTGGCAGAGCGGAACAAGTGACAGCAGCAAAAGCAGAAGAAGAGTTGTGAGTTTTAGTTTGGCGAAAGCTTCTTCACCATCATCTATGTCTCCTGTTGATCAGATTGCTTTGCTTGAAACCATTCTAAGCCTTCTACCCGAAAAGAGAGGAAGATCATTCTGTAAGTTCTTGCTTGGCCTCCTCCGTGTTGCTTTCATTTTAGGAGTTGATGGGAATTGTGTAAAGAAGTTGGAGAAAAGAATAGGAATGCAGTTGGAGCTCGCAACGCTCGAGAATCTTCTGATTCTGAACTATTCTGATTCAGAGACGTTGTACAATGTAGATTGTGTAGAACGAATAGTCCGCCATTTTGTATCATCATTGTCATCCTTACAGTTACCTGAGTTCTCTCCTCCATCTTTGGATCCAGTGACGTCTCCTTCTTCGGCACCTTTAAGAAAAGTGGCGAAGCTGGTCGATAGCTACATGGCTGAGGTTGCTTCCGATGTGAATCTGAAACCGGATAAAATGCGGTCTCTTGCAGCAGCTCTTCCAGAATCTTCAAGACCCTTGTATGATGGTCTATATAGATCATTTGATATCTATTTCAAGGTTGGATCATACTCAATTCTTTAAATGTTTTTCTTTAAGAAGATCCAATATTGAATATGAATTTGAACTTGTCAGGAGCATCCATGGCTATCAGACAAAGACAAGGAACAACTCTGCAACATCATGGACTATCAAAGACTCTCTATAGACGCTTGCGCTCATGCTTCCCATAACGATAGGTTACCACTCAGAGTTGTTCTTCAAGTACTCTTCTTCGAACAAATGCATCTCAGAACCGCTCTTGCAGGCGGTCTCAATGTTGCAAACACCGAAACAGCTCATGCACTAACGATCCCTGGTCGAAGAATGGGACAGGAGATAGTTCAGCGAGACGGTTGGGTGACCGTTGTGCGCCAAAACCAGGTTTTGAAAGTTGATATGCAGAAAATGAGGTCACGTGTTGGAGAATTAGAAGAGGAGTTTCAGAGTATCAAGCAGGAGATGAAGAAAAGAGTGAACAAGTCCTCTAGCTCCATGAGCTCGCCTCGTCTGGTCAAGCTTGGATGTAAGTTTCTTCTTCCACGAGCCTCTGATGCCAAGAATGATACAGTCCAGAACTCAGTGTCCAGCACTCCTAGATCTGCTACCGCTGACCACACACTCCCTCGTTCCTCCCGCCATTCCAAACACCGCAAAAGCTTCTCCTTTTTCGGATAATCTTCATTCAAAAACATTTATCTTCCCCTCTTCTCAAAGCCCAACACAAAGAAAGTTCCTTTTCCTTTCTTGAGGCTTTCCCTCGAGGAAGTTTCTCTCTTTTTTCCCGGGGAAACCAACAGAAACGGGATTGCTTCGTATAAACAGGAAATGGCCCAAGAACAGAAGCTGGCCATTTGAAGAAGAAGACGATCTCTTTCTGCTCAGCAAACTGTTCTGTGTTCTTTGTCCCTCTTCGGTTTCGAGAATTTGCCGCAGTTTTTCTCCCAAGGTAAAAGCTTTGAAGACTCTTCCATCAAAGGTGATAGAGTTTCGAAAAAGCCGGGCGATCTTGGTGGTTTTTTGGATATGGATATACACGATCAAAGTAAATAACAAGAGCTAGGATCTATAGAACCAAAAGAGTATCATTCTTGTCTGATTTGATATGTTTGTGTTTGAATATATGTAGATGTCTTGTAACTATCTGTGTAAATCTTTCTTCGTTTTGTGCATTTGTCAATAGTATAGAATCTTTTCTACTTTTCAGAGGCATTGTAACAAACAAAGGACTACTAAAGCTACACAGAAAACTATATTGTTACCGTTGATCCTTAAGATGATTTTCGCGGGAGCTCTGTATTATTAAAATAAGTCAAACAATTCTCTAACTAAATTACACTGAAACAGAACATAGAACATTTTTTTGGTCAAAGAACCATTTTTGAAGTTGATATTTGGGTATTTGGTGGGTTATTAAAACAAAACAAAAAAAATTCCCATTTGGGTCATGAAAGAAAACCTTACTAAAGTCGACGGAGCAAAGAGCCAAAACAAAAGCTCCAAATTGAAGCTTGATTACGGAAATGGAGAAAAAGTTGAAGCTTGATCGTGTAAGTTTTGTGTATCCTTTGATTTCGTTTTCAATTTGGTGAATGATTTTTCCTGTTTCCTGGAAAGAAAGCTTGAACCTTTAGGGCTTTTAGGATTTAAAGCTTTGACCTTTAGCTTTGTTAGTTCGATTAGTCACTTTGCCTCTCTGGGTGGCTCTGTGGAAAGCATCTCTGAGGCAATTTTGAGCTTTTTCTACGTTGTCGGAATGTTCTAATTTATTCAAAGTTTTGTACTTTACATGCTTGTGGTGGTTGTGGTATATTGTTGGCTGCAATGTGTGAATTAGTGGAGTTTAAATTTCATGTTCAGGTACCATTAGGGATGGGGTCTGTCTCTATGGGTTCCAAAAAGTTGAATACATGTTGTGTAGCTTCAATGAATTGTCTTCCAGACGAGCTTCTTGTCCAAATATTGTCATTGCTTCCCACTAAACAAGCTGCTTCAACATCTGTTTTCTCCAAGAGGTGGAGGACTCTGTTTGCTTTCCGGCATGACCTTGATTTTGACGACTCCATCTTTTGGCACCCAGAAGAGGGTAAACAGGATAGGGACGACATTCAAGAGAGTTTCCGGTCTTTTGTGGATAGAACATTGGCTTTGCAAGGCGGTGCTGTTGGAATATTGAGAGAGAATGAAAAAACAGAGTAAGAGACATTTGTCTCTTCTCTTGTGAAGAAGACAAGAACAAAACAGAGAACGTTTAATTGAACTGAAACTTGTTGTTTTATTAAGACAAGACACACACACTTATATACATGTTTACATAACTCTACGTAACCGTTGGTAACAGTTGTAACTTATCTCACAAGTTACGTCTCTTACTCACACACACCCGTTCGAGTGAGTCACATGTAACACATGACATCCGTTGGATTTACCACATATGATATTAAATGATTTAATCATGGACTCAATTCTAACACTCCCTCTTGAGTCCTTTGATTAAATCCCCAATTTCAATCTAGGGATTTCATCATTTCAATGCTCTCGCTTCTTCTTCAACATTGATGATTCACCTCTTCTCTGGTTGAATCCCTTTCATTGACGATTGTATATGTCATTGGTAAACCTCCCTTCTCTTTCTCCCTCTTGACCGGATGCTTCACTCATCGATTTTCCTCTTTCGTGAACACTTCTTCTCCACCTCGCTCTGTTTCGATTCTCCTTAATCGAACACAGCTCTTTCTTTTCTGCAGGTGCTGTGGAGTTGAATCATCTTATCCTTTGGTAACTTCTTGTTTTAGAAACACTCAACAGATTTCTGGCTAAACCCGGAATTAGAAACACCTCTTTGATGATCTTCTCTTCTTGGCTTGTCATCACTTGGATATTTCCCTTTTCCATGTCTCATCATTCACGTTTGATGATGATCTTTCTTCAACTGCACTAAACAGCATATGACCTTCATCATCTGTTTCTTCTAGGCTTAGGTACGCTCTCTCGGTCTTTCTAACCTTTCTTCACTACGTGCCGTGGCTTGTTACGTGCAGAGCACCTTCTTTGCTACTTGTATTTGACGTTGCACACTTTGAGATTTCTCTTTCCCACAAGGCTTCTCCTTTGTCACCTTCAAATTTTTTTTTTTTTTCACGTGAGCTTTGTCACGTCTTCTCTGGTTGTTTTCGAAACCTTTTTTCCACTCACTTTCTTTTAAGTGAGATTTCTTCTTATATCCTTTTGGTGTCCTCTTGATCACCAAATTTGTGCGTGAACTCCTCCACGTCTTCTTCGGTGTCTTCTTTTGATCACCATGACGTCTTGTGCGTGAATCTTCTTCACGTCGTCTTCGGTTTACTCTTCAACCGACTTATGCTTCATTTTTCTCCGAGGTAAGCATCCTCTTGTGCTCCATTTTTCTCCGAGGTAAGCATCCTCTTATGGTGTCCTCTTTTGATCACCATCACGTCTCTGTGACGTCTTGTGCGTGAATCTTCTTCACGTCGTCTTCGGTTTACTCTTCAACCGACTTATGCTCCATTTTTCTCCGAGGTAAGCATCCTCTTGTGCTCCATTTTTCTCCGAGGTAAGCATCCTCTTATGGTGTCCTCTTTTGATCACCATCACGTCTTGATGACGTCTCATCAGTTCCCTTGAACCTTTTTTACTGAGTAGCCTTGCACTGTTCTCCCAACAGAAGCTTACTCCGTGTTGCAGTGTTCTTCACAACTCAACAACACCTTTTGATATTAAGCCTTGCTCTGTTTCTTACACAGGTGGCTTCCTCCGTCTTGTTTCAGTTGACTCCTACTTCGGATTCTCAACTTCATCAAGTGATGTCTTCTTTGCATCCTTGAACTTCACCAAGACCTTGTTGAACAAAGTTTCAGAATTCTCCTTCCACAACTCCATATCCACATCCGTTTTCTCCATTGCCTTTAGAGAAGATTTCCTATCTTCTTCATCGCTTTTGGAGCCTTCCTCTTGAAGGTCCTTCATGTGAATGTGTTTGTGAAGGCTGATGGTACTCTCTCTTGTTACCACCTCTTCTTGTTCTTCCTTTTCTATTACGTCTTCTTCTTCTTCTTTTTCTCCTTTTTTTTTTTTTCGGTTTCTAACCGTAAGAAATGTTGGCTCCATCTTTCTCTTCTTCTCGCAGCGGAATTCTTTTTACTTGAATAGGCCCTTGAATCAGTAGGGCTCTGATACCATGTTGGAATATTGAGAGAGAATGAAAAAACAGAGTAAGAGACATTTGTCTCTTCTCTTGTGAAGAAGACAAGAACAAAACAGAGAACGTTTAATTGAACTGAAACTTGTTGTTTTATTAAGACAAGACACACACACTTATATACATGTTTACATAACTCTACGTAACCGTTGGTAACAGTTGTAACTTATCTCACAAGTTACGTCTCTTACTCACACACACCCGTTCGAGTGAGTCACATGTAACACATGACATCCGTTGGATTTACCACATATGATATTAAATGATTTAATCATGGACTCAATTCTAACAGGTGCCCCTATCAACAAGTTCTCACTTAAATGTGGAAATGAACATGACGATGTTCATGTTGATCGCTGGATAAGTAATGCCCTGGAACTCGGTGTCTCTGAGCTTCATCTATGCTTATCATCTGTGACTAGACATCATTTCCCATCCAATATCTTCAGCAGCTCAACACTGGTTAAGCTGACGTTGGGAACAAAACTCAGCATCTACAATTTTCCTTCTGATACGTCTCTCCCAGCACTCAAGGTTCTCTTTCTTGATTCGATTTGGTGTGACATTGAAGAGTTCTCTGGTGTCTTTCTCGCTGGTTGCCCTGCACTTGAGGACTTAACCATACAGCACAATGATTCATTTCCAGGAATGACAGGCGTCATATCCAGCAAAACCATTAAGAGACTCTCCATTTCCTATAACTATGCTGATTATGTTTAATTTTGTAGCATTTATGCACTTGACACACCAAATGTTGTCGACCTCTACTACTCTTGTTATGCTCGGCCTTGGTATTCACATTTGTAATTTGGATTCACTTGCCAAAGCTATGCTGGACCTTCGTATGTTAGAAGGTGAGGGGGTGATTGATGCCGATGTGACGGAGCTCATCAATGGGATACAAAACGTCAAGACCCTTCACTTGACTTCTTCTTCTGTTGAGGTCAGTTTCTTTGTATGGTCTCATCATCTTTCGGTTTAGAAACAAAATAACATTCTTTGTGTGTCTTCAGGTGATTTCGGTATGCTGCAAAGGTGGACTACCAGTGTTCGGAAACCTCGTTGATTTAGTGTTTTTGGGTAACATAGGCCGAGGTTGGAAAGTGCTACTGGCCTACTGCCACTCCTGCTTGAGAATTCTCCAAACCTAAAAACTCTGGTTCTCTCGGTATGAAGCAAAATCATACTTTATATATATATTGTGCCATGAAATTAAATTAATCTCCCCTCTTTATACTTCAGGCTCTGGATCATTGGACAAATATATCTGTGGGGATTCACATTCCCCCAAAGAATCAAGTAAAGATGTTGAGTATCATGCAATGTAAAGGAAGTGCAAATGAGCTGAAATTCATTAGCCATTTTTTACTAAAAATGGAGTGTCTTGAAGTGGTGAAAGTCTGCGTTACACCGGCAATGGATGACACCAAAAAGGGGCAACTGACAGAGTATCTGATGAAGCTTCCTAGAGCCTCATCCAAGCTCAAGATACAAGTCATGTGATCATCATCCCTAACTAAGGTATTTTTCGGCAAAAATCAAATTGTAAGTGTTTTTTCTTTCTTTGTTTGTTTTAGTGATTTATGATGTATTATTGCATCTACTATATACCCTGCCTAGTCCATGTTTAGGGGTTTATTTTGGAAATAAATGTTAAATCCGCCTCTTTATTTTGATGAGTGTGTTTGCTCAAAATTGATTCCATCATCCTATTTTTTTGTGCCGGTATCTCCGAGACCAAATTTTTTTCTGCTTTTGCAACTCCTCGCTTGCCATCTCATTCTAAAGATGTTCCGAGAGAAGAGTTTAGAAACTGTTCGGTTTATTGATGAGAAAAATTGGATCTTGAGATGGGAAACAAATGACTCTTGTCAGATACATAGTCATATCTCAACCATTAAATAGATAGTACAGAAGATGTTCTTCAGGTTTTTCAAAACAGGGCTGACAAAGTGAGTCACTGAGTTTGTTGATGATGTGAAGATCCATTTTCATAAGATATAGTCTTCATCTAATGCCCTCTAAACTTGTGTATTTATTAGCTCCAACGTCTCCCTAGTCCTGTATGAATCAGATTTAAAGTCCTTTTTCCTCTTGGAATGCTGTT